GCTCCCATTCCAGGCAGCCTTCCCGGAAAATTACCAGGCATCCCTCCAGGAAAGCCACTTGGAAAAGAGCCATACTGAGCACCTGCCTGTCGTCTGGCTTCTTCCTCCCTCTGGGCTCTTTCATGCTCTTCTCCAGCCTTCTTAACCCTTTCTATTCTTTCTTTGATTTCTCGTTCTTCACGTTTTCGTTCATACTTTCTCTGATGTTCAGCAATTTTCTGGGCCCTTGGCTGAACTTCTTTCAGCCTTGCACTCACATCTTCATCATAATCTAGTTTACAGGGAAGGGCAAGATCATGGGCTGCTTCTTCCCAATGCCCCAGAAGTCTGTGCGCTTTCCCTCACCATTTGTATGGCTGGGCTGAATCAGGATTTATTTCAATGGCTCTGTCACTATCTCAAATGGCAGCATTTGGCTTCTGCAATTTGATGAAGACACTGGCTCTCTTGGCGTACAGAATGGCCAGGCGAGGATTCAGCTTAATGGCATCTGTGAACAAGTCAATGGCTTTCTGTAGTTCGCCATCATTTAGAGCATCCGTGGCAGCCCCTTTCTTTTCATTTGCTTGATCCATCATCTCCTCAGTTATCTCTACATTTTCATCTCCCTTTTCTTGAGGGGTATCAGTGTCTGGTTCAATTGCACCTTCACTGTCGATTTCTAGATCACTTTCCTCACTTGATGGCTCGTCTGTCTTTATGTTTTCCTCCATCTTCTTGCTATCTGTTTTTTCTTCCTTGATATTTTCTTCTGATTTAGCTTTATGAGTAGCAGGTGGTACTTTACCCCCATGTTCTCCACCCACTCCCTCAGGAAGCGCATCTCCTCTGTGTGCAGGATGCTTGGATCTTGCTTACACATTTTCACGAAAGCCCGAAGCTCATTTACTTTGTGGAGATCCATGGTTGGCAGACTATGGTCAGTGGCTGCTTAGGAGGCTGCTACCAGATCCCAAGCCCAGGCGCTGGCTAGGCGAGTTGATCATTCTTAATACTTCTTGGTAATAGCGTCTCTGTTATATACTTAGAGGTTGCTGGAGTGTCTGGTTGGCCAAAAAATTGACCTGCTGGGTCCTTGATACTCTTGAGGGTGCTATTTTCTCCTTTGACAACTCCAACGATACTTCCTACCTCAGGAAATCTTGAAGGACATCACACTCACCTTCTTGGAAACTTATGATTTCAGGTTCCCAAGAGCAGGATTACATCCTGTCAGGCTGGGCCAGGAGTTCTTGGCAGCCTTTTTCTGGTGACACATTCCTTTGGAGCTTCCCAGACATCAGCTTAGAAACTTCAGCTATGTAAATAGACATAATCACTTCAATACACCCTGCCCTCAAGCTGCTTAAAGTCTACTGAGGAAAGAAGGCTAAAACCAAGAGTAGAATAATAGAACAAATAAGTAGAGAGAAATCAGTGAGTGGTCATAAAAGAAAGCTATGGAAATTCCTACTAACAAAAGTTACTTCTAGCTGAGGGAGAGCATGCAACCTATGTCTTAAGTAATGTCAACTTTTGACAAATGAGGGTTGGGCCTACAGGCAAGTGGAATGGTCACGTGGAATGACTAGGACAAAGCAAGAGCAGAGGAGAAGTGGAGGAAAGCCTGGAAGTATGAGCAGGGAACAGATTGAAAAGGGCTGAATATTGGAATAAGGCTGTAGAATTTTAGCCTTTAGATAAGTTTTAGCATCTAGTCCCCCCCTTTTTAGTATGGAGAGTGTCATAATCTTCGTGGGCCTATCCTGTCAGCCAAATGCAAGATTTAGGAGGGGAGGGAAGTGGAGGTGAGAATGCTTTCACAGTAAACAGTGGTCATTTATGAAGCGAGGAGAAGGTAAGAAGGCTAACAGTGGAAAAGGAAGGAATCTGGAGATCTTGGATCAGTGCTAATAATAATGATGGTCAACACTTATTAAATCATAGAATGTTCCAGGCACTGTCAGACACAACATGTACATTAACTCATTTCATTTCCACAATAACCTATGATGTAAGTACTGTTAGTACTTGTGTTTCACAGGTTTAAAAACATAGGGTCAAGTAACCTGCCCAAGATCTCACAGCCCTTAAGATTTGGGGCATTCTCTATTGACTACCATGCGGTAGAAATGGAAGGTATTGGAGTTCAGAAAATGAGACCTCCAAATATGCTAATTTAGACTTTAAACTGAGCTCATCTAGGGAACAAGATACACAGGAAGGCTTTCTCTGAAGTTCCTTTCTCTAAAACTGAATCTGCCAAAGAAGAGCATAACTCCTTCCACTCTTATTCTTAAAATTTCATTAACTCAGGAAGATTAAGCTCATATCATAGAGGAAGAGACTGAAAATCAAATGACACACCTAGAGCGTAGAAGAACTTTGTCCCAGTCATTGTTTGTTCTTCTCTAAAAATAATTTGCTACCCTCTCAAAGTGTCTGCAGTCTCCACTTCCCTCTCTCCTATGAGGAGGTTATTTAAACTCAATTCTTTGGTCCTTCTTTAAATTTCATGTTTTGTGTGGCTCCCATGCTCAGGTGCATGTTAATACATTTGTATTCATTTTCTACTGTTACCGCTCTATTGATTTGTTTCAGCAAATTCAATTATTGAAACTTCAGAAGGAAAATTTGAATTTCTCTACGAGGGTTATAGTAGAATCTAGACTGCTGAGCCTCACTGCAGGGGACAGAGGAGAATCTGAACCTTGGAAAAGCAGATATTGTCTACCTTCATCTTTGGGTCGCAGTGCTGTGGACCAACAAGATGGCTTATAACCAGGACGTCTTCTCTTGCTAAACCAGGACATCCTGAGATCTCAATGAAATGTTCTTATGAGGAAGTAAGAGCTGGAGTTTTGTTACAGAAAGTTATCTGGCTTGGATATTGCCATTTCCTAGCTGTATATCTTTAAACAAGTTAATCTTGCTGGGGCTTTGTTTCCATACCTGCCAATCAGAGATGATAATAATTCTTTCCTTATAGAGTTGTTGATAGTATTAAAGGGGTGAGCAGTAAAAATGCTCAGCATCTGACATAATAAATGCTCCTTAAATGTTAGCTATTTTGTTATTTCCCACCACTTGCACCTATTTTATCACTCAATTACATTTTGATAAATGAGTATTAGATAAATCTGCACAAGAAAAAGATACAGAAAATTGGAAAAAGTGAAGTATAGCTGCAAAAGAAAATGGCAGTAGAGCTGGAGCAAGCTGAGACATACCTGATTTCTATCTTCTCTTTGTTAAAGGACCTTTCAGGACATGCTCTATAGATAAGGAAAAGCTTATTATTCTTTTCTCCTCTGGTTTGCAGTCCTTCCTTTCAGGAGGACAAGGAGGGGAAAGTGTGAGTTGCCTTATCTAAAACAGTGTGATAATTGGTTGTCAACGTGACATTTTGCATTTGATTTTCCCAAAGGTTATATAGTGGCTGGAGCCAGATGGACTGCCTGGACCCCAAGGGCTGCCTCCAGCCCTTCTTACAGGAGTGTATTTAATGTATACTAATGATTAATATGCAAACATCTGCACAGTGTATACATGCAAACTATTACTTCAGAAATGGTGGGAGCCTCTGTGCAACTAAAATGAAGCTGATTAAAAAAATAAAACCAAACCTCTGTGTAAGGTCATCAATTCCGTCCTTATTGCAAGCCACCAATCACACCCTCAGCTAAAGGAGATAGCATATTATTGATCTCTGAAAACTGCTTCAGTTAACCTATGTCCTGGCTGGGTGTCCCCCCCCCCCCCCCCCCCAGCCGCAGTGTTATTTTTACCTTTTAAATTACCTGCTACTTCCTTTCCTTCAGTGTTTGTGGTCCTTTACGCATCAATAAGCGATAGAAATATTTTAAATATGTGTGTGTGAAGGCCAGCCAGTGGCTGGCTGCTATTTGCTTTCTGCATTTTCACATGTTTTTGTGACATTTGAGCACCACCCAGTGGCCATATACATATAGCCAAAAATTTTAAAAAGTTTGGAGATGGAAGAAACAAGCATTTCTTTTAAAATGAACTACAGAGCCTACTGCTTAAAAAGTAAGAATATAAGCAAGGCATTGCAATCAACATTTATTGTAACACTTTGTTTTTCTTCTTTATCATTTTTTGTTTCTTTGGTTTTTTTCTGCAGTTCTAAAAATTATCATTGCTAGCATTAAAAAACCCCATGTTTTTGTGTTGGTTTGTAGTACTTATTCCCTGAGGCCATTATAGATAGTAATTTTTTCCTGTCTTTCTTGAGACAAGATCTCGCTGTGTAATTCATGCTGGCTTTGATCTTACTAAGTATCCCAGGCTGGCCTCAAATTTTCAGCAATCCTCCTGCCTCAGCCTCCTGGAGGCTAGGATTACAGGTGTTCACTACCATGCCTGGGTTCTCAGCAAATGTTATCTTATTGGCTTTGGTTCAGTGTTGAGGATCACTGAAGTGTTATAGTTTTATGGTCTGATAGTAGATTGTAGTTTTATAGCCTCATGTAGAAATTTAATAATTATTTCAACCATGTCTCAAGTGTCTCAAGCTATTGATAAACATATTGGGGTGGGACAGGGCCATAGCAGCATACCAGAAGTCCCTGTCAAGCATCATTAATCAACACTGTGGCTTCTCACTCCAGAAGTAATCATTATTCTTACATTTGTGTTAATGGTTTGCTTTTTACTATGGTTTCACCACCCAGGTACATATCATTAAGAATATATAATTTACTTTTGCCTATATTTGAACTTGATAAATGAAAATATGCAGTACTGATTCTTCTGTCCTTGTGTTTCTTTGGCTCAGCACTGTTTTTGAGGTTCATTCAGTTCAATGCATTGTGGCTGTAATCTGTGCACTGCTGAGTAGCCTGCCGCCATATGCAGGTGCTGCCATGCATTCATTCATCCTCCTGATGATGGACAGCTAGGATTTCCCACTTTGGGGTTATTATAAACACAGAACTCTAAATATTATTGTACATATTTCTTTGAGTACTCATGCCATTTCTTCTCTAAGATGATCTAAGATGGAGGTCTTCTGCTCAGATGACCTTCAGGAGAATAAGCTTTGGGCAACACGGCTGATGGACAGCTTCTCACTGCTGCACTTTGAGGAGTGCTTCAAGCCAGGACTGCTTCCCATGATCTGGTGACTGAGCACAGCATGAGCACCAGAACTGGATCATCTCTGTCCTGCGTGGGGTTCTTCTGATGAGCAACTTTAGTGATGGCTTTATCTGTTTGAGATTTTGTAAGAATCATGCCAGTATCTGAGGTTCTTTTGGACAATCTTCTAATCTCACAAATTGGATTTTTGGCTCATGGGTTAGAGATATCATATGAAATGGCTTCACTAGTGTGAGAAACTAATAGTGTAAACAAGGGTTAAAATGATTAAAATGAATAATTGATAATTTGAAATAGGAAAAAAGGTCCGAAGATGAAGGAGTGAAGGGGGGGAAGGGGAAAGGAAAAGAGGGAAAGGAAAAACTATGAGAAAAGAAAAGAAAAAAAAGGAAATGAAATCTATGTAAATAGAGAAGGGTGGAGGGGGTGAAGGGTGCACAGGTAATGGGGAAAAAAAATAAAAACCAAGATATATCATGTACAGGTACAAACACCCAATGATAAATGTAAATGAATTGTATACCTAAAATGTACCAATAAAAGAACTAAAAAAAAAAATCCACCATGGGAGTGTGGACTGGTGCAACCACTGTGGAAATCAGTACGGAGATACCTCAGAGAACTGGGACTGGAAGTCCCATTTGACTCAGCTATTCCCCTGCTGGGTATCTTCCCCAAAGAATTAAAAGAATCATACCACAGTGATATATGTGCACCCATGTTCATAGCAGCACAGTTTGTAATAGCTAAAGCTTGGAAACAGCCCAACTTCCCATCAACTGAAAACTGGATCAAGAAAATGTGTGGTTTTTAAAAAAAAAAAAAATGGAGTACTACTCAGCCATCAAAAACAAGAAATTAGAGACATTTATTGCTAAATGGATGCACATTGAGGCGATTCTCTTCAGTGAAATAAACAGAACACGCATGTGTAAATACCAAATAGTTTCTCTAGTGTGAGAAACTGAAAGTGTAAATAAGGACTAAAAGGTATAACAGATAATGTGAAATAGGAAGAAAAGGGGCAAAGGGGAGGGGTAAGTGGGAGGGGTAGGGGAAAGGAAAGAAGGGAATGGAATTAATATGAGAAAATGAAAAAATGGAAACAAAGTCTTGTAAACAGGGAGGGCAGAGGAAGGGGGAAAAATAAGAACCAAGAGAGATATTATGTAAAGGTGCAAATTTCCAATGATTAATGTCATTATATTGTACACCTAAAATGTACCAATAAAAGGATATACAAAAAAAAAAAAAGAAAGAAAAAAGAAAAAAGCCAAGGGGAAGTCTCTAAAACTGCTTCCTTTTCTCACTGTGGCTAGTGACTAAGATAGTAAGGCAAAAAACTCTGTCATTTCCAGGGGCTGGTGCCACCACTAACGAAAAGATGCAGAAATGGTGGTCTCTACCATACCTCTATTTAATTTGCTGGTATCACATTTTATATGGGTGCAAGCTGAAAACAACAACTGCCTCAAGGATGGCCTTGAAAAATATTTCCAATGGGCAGAACACTCTTTTACATCTTAGATCTTTGATCTGAGGTAGTTTTCCTATGAATAAAGTATGATCTTTAGAATTTCTTTAATGAGGTGGTGTGCTGGTGGGGCTCTCAGTTTTTGTCTGAAATGTCTTGTTTTGTCCTAATTCTTAAATTTTCCTTTCCTCTTTCTTTCCCTCAACCTTACTCATTCTTTCTTGTGTGTGTGCTTTTTTGTTTTTTGTTTTTTGGTACCGGGGATTGAACTCGGGACCTTGTGCTTGCAAAGCAGGTGCCGGAACCACTGAGCTAAATCCCCGGCCCTACCCATCATTTCTTTCCTTAATTTCCTCCCTCCCTCCCTCTTTTCCACTTTCCCTCCCTTTCTTTCTTCAGTTTGTAACCAATCCTGTGGAAAAGACAGCCTAATTACTTTACCCTTCTGTTTCCTTTCTTTCTCTCCTCTCTTAAGCAATGAAATTTCCTGTGAGTTTTGAATCTACTCATAATTTAAGGCAACACAGACCTCATGTAAGGCTGTAGCACTCGACTCCTTGCTCTCTGTCTCACCCCAACCAAATCTTTTCTTTTTCCACCCATACCCCTTTATCTCACTTACTGACAGCAGTGTTTCCTGACTTGCAGCCTAGCCTCTAAACCAGGATCCTTGGGTTGTGTTCAGGAATGATTAGTCACTCAAAAGAACATCCTGTGAATGAAGATTAGCCAATCTTGACCCTCTGGCTTGAAAAGTAAAGCTAGGTTTGGATTTTTAAAAATGTTCAATTTGGCCTTTGGAAAAATGCCTCTGGTATTTTTCATTTTGGATGAATTTACAGAGAAGTTTAGGCTGTTATATCTGAAAACTTAGTTCTGAACCTGTTTCTTCAGCCCTGCCATGATTCTTTGGATGACCTAAACCATTATATTTGGAAATTGCTTTCCTGTTTAATCAGCCAGCAATGGAAATAGGTTGAAAAGAAAGCTGAGGAAGGTTTTTTGTACATACCATGCATTATGATTCTCTCAGCATCTCTGTGAAGGAAATAGAAAGCCTGATTTTGCTGAAGGGAAACTCAGACTTAAATAATTCCTTGTTATTCTGTTTCTGTGTTCAGTGCTTCTTACCCTGAGCATACAGACAGGTTAACAAACCAAACCTCAGAAGTTTGCACAACTTTTCTTATGTTTGTTTTGGTTTAAAAAATTTACAAGTTGTCAATAAGCTGATTATGTTTAATTCAGTCATGTTGGTAGTAAATCTCTTCTTTTCTGCACTGTGTTCCATTTAACCTTAATAGGACAATAGAGTGGATGTAAGTTTTTCTTACCTGTTAAATAACTTAATAAATTCATTCATTATTAGCATTGAAAAGAATCACAACATTTAAAAAACTAATATAAACCTGAAAGGAAGTCATGTATGGAGACATAAGCAATATTCTTATATTTTGGGTAAAAAGTTTCAACTCTCTTCAGAGACCTTCAAAGAGGATCAAGGGTAGAAGTGCACTACATTAAAATTGATTGCTAGCCATGATAGTAAGAAGAAAAATAGAGCTAGAACTAGTGATCATGCCCAGCAAGGCAAGAAGATTGCCGATCAGTTTTCTTGAGCTCCCTGAAAATTTTAGATAAGATGGAACTGGACATTTCTTTCCAATTGCATTAACTTCCAGTTCACTCTCATTTTAGGAAAACTTGCTTTGTTTATTTCTATTCATCAAACAATTCTTTTAAGATAGTATATTTTTTTTCTTCCTTGGTACCGGGAATCAAACTCAAGACCTTGTGCTTGCCAGTCAGGCACAGTGCTAAGGAGCTACATCCTGGGCCTCAGGATAATATATTTTGATTGAAATAAATGGATTGTATTTTACACACTCTACATGTATGCTGCCTTTCCTATTTGAAAATGACCTTAGTTTTGCAGTATCAATTATTTTGTGTTAGTGTGTATCTTTCATGATTGACAGGTTTACTCTAATTATTGTCAACACTAGCATGGTTATGCATGAGCCTGCCTGGTAATGGGATACAAAGTGATGGGAAAAAGGCCATAGTTATAGAAAAATGTAGCTTTTAAGCTGGGCATGGTAGTGCATGCCTGAAATCACTCTGGGAGGCTGAGGCAGGAGGATTGCAAGTTAGAGCCCAGTCTGGCCAGCTTAGTGACTTTAGTGAGACTATGTATCCAAAACAAATAAACAAACAAACACACACACAAAAAAAGACTGGGGAGGTAGCTGAGTGCAAAGGCCCTGAATTCAATTCAGCCATCCCCTGTACCACCATAAACAAAACAAACCCAAAACAAAAATCCCTTGACACCTTTTAGATACTATCCAGTCATTACAAAATTATTTTGCCTTTAAAAAATAAATTCATATTAAACTACTAATATATAAGCAATACATTTTCTAGCAAAGTGCATATAATCCTGACTGCCACAATGTTGTTTTAGTTTATCTTATTCAGTGTATTTTATGATACCTGAATTCTACCACCTCTATTCTTTATTCAAACCACTCTGAATGCTTCATTTCACAGTGTCACTGTGTTATTATGTAAATTATCTGGTATAAATTGAATTATTTCTCCATTGCATTTATATCTATTATCTTTTTATTAGTTTGTGACAAGGCAGGCATTATTCTGCTTTAGTATGTTGGAGTGAGATAATTAAAGGAATAAAACATGTAGAACAATGCCTGGAACATAGTACACATTCAAACAACTCTCTCTCTCTCTCTTTGAGAAAGGGTCTCACTACATAGTTAATCCTGGCCTTGAACTCATTATGTAGCCCAAGCTGGCCTCAAACTTGTGACAATCTTTCAGTCTCATTGTCCTAAGTGCTGGGGTTACAGACATGCACCACCATACCCGGCTCAATAAATATAACTTACATTTTGCAGAGTCTGAGATTGAAATTTACCTAAGGGGACAAAGAAGAAGTAATTGTACCCTTACCACAAGAGACAGATATAGTACCCCAGTGGTCAACTTGTTTTAGAATGAGTTGGACCACATATTTAATGAATAAGTGTATATTTAGAAAATGGAAATTTTTGCAGAAGTTTGCTGAAGTTTCTGCCTTTTAATTACTCAATTAATTTTTATTTAATTGTAATTTTGTGGTGCTGAGAAATGGATGCATACCCTTGTTGCATACAAGCAAGGGCTTTACCACTCAGCTACACACCCAGCTCTGGCTTTTATTTCTGATGTAATGATACTCTTCCTGTCCTTCGTAATTTTCTTAGATTTTTAGCATAGGCAACCTGAACTTCTAGTCAAGAGTAACCTTGATTCTGATTTGATTGTTCTGAGTTAGGATCTAGCCAGGCATTTTTTTTTTTTAAATCAGCCACAGTTGGGAACTACTGATTTTTTGATCTATGCTTTCAGTTCATTATTAGCAAAACTGACATAACTCAGTCTTTTCATCTTTAACATGGGAAGATTGGATGAAATACTCTAATTTTTCAGTTTAAATACCCTAAATTTGGCAAATGATCCAAAGCTTTGTAAATGATAACTTT